AGAGTCCAGCCTCCCGGATGATCTGTTCTGCACACAGGTTGAAAAGGTATGGAGACAGGACACATCCCTTCCCAATTTTGAACCATGCAGTGTTTCCTTGCTCTGTTCTGACAACTGCCTCTTGGTTCAAGTATAAGTTTCGCATTAGCACGATCAAGTGTTCTGGTATTCCCATTCTTCTCAGAGTCAGCCACAGTTTGTTATGATCCACACAGTCAAACACCTTTGCATAATCATAGATAGACGTTCCTCTGGTACTCCCTGTTTCTGCCAAGATCCATCTAACATTAGCTACAATATACCTAGTACCACAACTCCTTCTAAACCTAACCTGAACTTCTGGCATTTCTCTGCTGATGTGCTGTTCCAGTCGTTTCTGGATAATCTTCAACAGAATCTTGCTTGCATGTGAAATCAATGATATTGTTCTGTAGTTTCCACACTCTGTTGGGTCACCTCTCTTTGGAATGGGAGGGCAGGCAGAAGACAAGACACCTCAGCAGAGCTAAAACTCCCCCGCCCGAACAGGTAACCGGAGGACCCCCAAAGCTGTGCACAAGTAGATTGGGCCCTCCGGCCCTTGGGCCAAGAAGAAACTTCTAAGCACCAGTTCCACAGGACACATCATCTCTGTTCAGGACACATTACCACTACACTTAGGAGACTCTGGTCACAGCATAAGAAACTGTTAGCAGCTGATGAATCTGGAAAATGATCTATGCGTAAAGTAGGATTAGAATTACATCATATGCTATGTTCATACCAACAAGAAAGACTGTCTTCATTGGAGAAGTTGTTAAGCAAAGATTTTTAGTTTTCTCTTTTAAAAAAAAATTTCAAATTGAACCTAAATAGCACACAAAGAGATACACTATTATTATTTTCTATTTGTTAATAAGGATTCCATTTCAGACTCACTCTAGTGTCAGTACAACAAAAAGACACATACACTGGGAGATTTTTTTTTCTCTAGATGCATTTGGGATTTCAGAGATGCTGACCTTATTACCATGTGGAATCAGAGCCTATCCTTGAGATTTAAAGATCTCCTTATGTTTGGAAGTAATTTTCAATCACCATTTTCTAATACAATAATGGGAAGGAATTGTCCTTCCTTTTCAGGAGAAGAAAACAGCTCCAGTATTCACAAAGCTTGTCTCTGCCTTTCAAGCAAGTCGGCAGCACTAGAATTTTCAATTACCTTTCATTCTCTGCTCTCTCAATTAGAAAAGGTTGTGTGCAAGGACATACTGAGATTCACCTTTATGGAGTCTTACTATGCAGGGAGTCTTAAAGTACTCCAGGGGAGAAATTAGCAAATGGCTTTTAAAAGGTTTAAATATTTTAATAAAACAAAAAGAAAGACAATCAGCCCAAAATAAGAACTCTGTCAATGACCTTTTATCCTGAGAATAATTTTTAATTATTTTTTTTTTAGAATGGAAAAACCTCAGATCAAGGACTTAAGGCCATCAAGTGGGAACAAATTCATAGCTGCCCCTCCAGTGTGTTTTCAGAAGCTGTAAGCCACATGGGAGCCCACTGGCTGCCCATCTCTCTACCTTGCAGCCAATGGTAGATTCAGTTTCTCAGTACTTTAAAGTGATTTACTTTGATAGTCTCTGTATTCACAAGAAAGCCCATTGGAGTATTTACTTGTTAACCTTGGAAACTGTTCCATATCTCTACCACTCACTGATTCCATGAACTGGCTGGAATTTGAAAAGCAAACAGTTCTTGCAAGGTTAAAACCTAACTTATTAGCTCAGAACCAACTCCTGCAAATTTTTGAAGTCTCCTATCCTTCGACCTTAATAAAGTAGAACATAATCTTTATTGCCTACAGAAGGGGCTGTCCTCAAGCTACTCAAATCTAGAAGTGGTCAGCAAGTTCTTTTATTAAGTTTGAAGGTTATGAATTAATGCCATTCTCTGTGTTCTTTCAATTTAATTAGCATATATTTTCCTCTTTTGGAACAGGATATTGCTCACTTGATTTCTTCTTTTGGGATTGGGCATGGGGGAGACAATTTTCTGGGCTCATTTCCTTGAGAATTGCCGAGATGAAGACCAAGTTGTTATAAGTAAATTTTTTTATTAAGATTGTGAGAATAGCATGATCTTTAAAAAGCCTGACAGAAAAACACTAAGAAAGGCCAACATTTTCAAAGTCAGGATGCTCAAAAGAGCGCCCCTTGTGTACTGACTGTGCATTGAAAAATCTTATGTTTCTTAGATGCCCGATGACCCTAGGGCATTTCTGAAGATGTTATCAAACAATCCAGCCCTGAGTTTTCATTTGCGTAGCCTTGTGTGCTTTGAGATTCATTTGATTAGTGAGTCTTTCAAAGGGCTGCTTCCCTCTGTATGCCAAAGAGCATCGAACAACCTCCTGTGACAAGCAGAGTGAGCAACTAAAGGGTTGTTTCTGCTAATGAAATGTAAAGAGAAAACATCTTTTACTACAGTTGCACTGTGTCAAATGACAAGGCTCAGCTCCACAAGTAATGCTGAGAATATTTGATGGGCTGTAATTCTCTTTTGCAAATGAATTTGTAAACCAAAAAAAGGGCTTTACTTTATGGTGGACTAGTTATGGAAACAAACATAAAATATTTGTTAGAATTATTCCACTGGAAGGCCAGTGCATGATCCCTACCTAGTTATCATTGTTATTAGGGACCACAGAGTCAACTACAAATAAGGACCATATGAACAGCAGATCTGGACTTCTCCCTATCCTGCACAATCCTCCCCTTCTCCAATCAGCTCAAGGCCGTATCAATGTTACACTGATACAGTCAGTCTATCTTGAAGGTCTTCCTCCATTTCTCTGACCCTGAATCTTTCCAAGCATGATGTCTTTTTCCAGGGTCTGGGCCCTCCTGACAATATCCCTAACACAGGTGAGGTCCTACCTAGATATGATTTCTAGTTCTTGCCTAGAATCATTGTGAGAGGAACAGTGATTAAAACTTCTTTGAGTAATAAGTTAGGACCAAGAATAGGGCCTCTGTTGTTTTGGGCCCTCACTCTTTTCTTCTGCACTGAAAATGACATTTCCATACTTGCAATATAGTTGCTCACTTTCAATTTTGCTTTCTCTATTATCTGAATTTATCATGTAATAACCCTCCCCTTTTGGAACAAGGAAGAGAGTAATTGAACATATTGTGGTACAAACTAAGATTTTACAGGGCAGGACAAAAACAGGGGGCCTTACTCTTAAGTCTGGCAAAGGTGTACCTTCTTGCTCACTGGCTCTCATTCCTCCATTCTCAGAGGAAAGGCACATGATATTGCTAAAGGAATAGGGGGTTAGTGCGAATTTACCCCATGTTTGGAAAGTCAGTCTACCCCTCTCAGAAAAATGTACCATTTTTAAAGGCTTTATAAGAGACAGGCAATACTCAAGCTGAAAAGAAATGTAGCAATAGTAAAATAAACCAAAAAAGCCCCACCTTCTTGACCAACAAATCCTATCACAAAATGATGTAGTTTATCTGTGGAGCTGGGCTGACCATTTCTCCTACAAGAAGGTCTATGAAAGGAAAAAAGAACTGAGACCCATTTGCTCAATCACACACTGTCAGTTTTCTTCTGTTTCCTGTATCACTACATTTTCCTCCTCTGTTGATATTGTTGTGTACCATCAAGTTGGAAATGACCCATAACTGACCCTCCAGTGAGATTGCAAAGGCAGTCAATAACTTGGGGGAAGATTGCCCGTCTTTCACCATGCAGTAGCTGGTGAACTTGAACTAAGTGCCTATGGGATTATAGCACAGCTTCTTGCCACTAGGCCACCAGAACTCCCTTCTAGATATAAAAATACTTTTCTCTCTCAACATGAAAGATATATAACCACCCATTTAACTTTTATGACTATTTTCTCTGAAATTTATTATAACTCACTCTATATTGTTTCTTCTAGTGATCATGGCTTGAGTGAAAGGGGTTATATTCCTATCACCATATTCTAAGATGTCAATAATGCAATAGGTTGTGAAATTCAACTTGTATTTGATAAATTAAAAGAATTCCTAACATACAATATAACTGTTCATTCTATTCCTTTTTCATAAACACATCCTACTCTTTACTTCTGCTAATTCAAGTACATCTGATTTTCCTCCAATCTTCTGCACTCATTTTCTTCTCATTGTCCTGGTGTTGGGGTTTTTCTTAATTATTTCTATCCTGTGGGCTTCTCCTTTTCCTGGCTTTACTGGGCTAAAATTACTCAATAATCAATTCCTATGCTATGCTTCTCTCCTTCTCCAATCTCTGCCTCATATAGAGCTTCAGTTAGGATCTGTCACATATATGATCATTTCTCTCATTTGAGCTCCATACTCTTGGAGCTCTCAATTACTTAACCATACTTCAAAGCAATTCATATTTAATTTATTGAAACTACCATTCATGATCACCCCACTAACACATTTTAAACCTGAGAGCAATCATTTCCAATCTGTGAATTCCATAAAATCCCTCTCATGTCTAGAACAAAAATCCTTGCTTCATTTTCTTAACTCTCTCCCTTAATTTACATTATCCATTTCCTTAAATGTTAAAGAATAAGGATGTCATCTTGAGGGCTAAGAAACA